GTTCATGGATTTCACAGCATCATTTATTCTGCTCATTGGAATCACTTTCTTCTTCACTAACAATGTCAGGTCATCTATGAACTCCACATACTCATCTGGAACCATTACCTAATTACAATAAATAAATAAATAAATAAATAACCCGAAAAAAAGCGAATTTTTCAAGTATATTTAAAAACTAATTTAATTTCTATAAGCGTTTTTTTTCTCGTTTAATTACCATATCAATCCCAGCATGAATACCAACTTGAACACAGTAAGTATAGTTTGCACGTTCGGGGGTGCTTAGTCGATCGATCCCCCTCATATCCGATATAACAAAGCCCTGAAGAAAAAAAACGAAATTTGAGAAATAACTTTTACATGCAAGAAATTTGATAAAGAATGAGAAGAATATAAGCAAAAAATAAAAAATAAAAAAATTGTACTTTGAATTTGAGTGTGTTCTTTAAATATCCGGTAATGAGATCATAATTGGCATGCATCTTCACTCCGTTCCAGCTCGAATACGAAATCATAACAGTCGAAACACCTTTACTAATCGAGTCGAGATACGCAGGCATATGAATACTTAGCATTCCATTCCAATCTATAACGGTGTTATTTTCGTTAATCCCGTTAGTTGTGCCTCCATCTCCCACAAAATGCTTCGCACAAGCCGCAACCTTTTTCTCCCTTTCACCCAAAAAAAATTATATAAAAAAGACGAAATTATAGAAAAAAAAATAAAAAGAATCTTGATCGTGTATTTATTATATTATACCCTGGATTCACAAACGGGAATTTTTTCGGATAATCGGACGGAATATCGCCTTGTAGACCAGGAATTATCTCGGTCAATGATTGAACTATTGTGTGATCTTCGCTGTAGCTTTCGAAACACCGGCCCCATCTAGGATCTCTGCAAACCTGCGAAACAATAAATTATTAATAAAATTATTCCAAATAACTAGAGATTAAAATTATAATAGTGGAGTACAAGTTTAATTAATTTACCGCTACACACGGAGCAAAAGTGTAAGAAATTCCGGTTGCTCTTACTTCAAGAGCTGTTGCAGAACCTATCTTCTTCACAACTTCTGGATCCCTAATCGAGTTGTAACATATATTCAATGTTCATAAATCCATATTTGTAGTTTAATTACATATGTAACCAAATAAAATAAAATTAATTAGTGGACTTGCCTTGTAACTCCAAGGCCAACATTGTGAGGGAAAATGGTGGCGTTGTAAACGTTATTATGACCATGAATGGCGTCGATACCGTAAATCATGGGTATTCCTAAACGGGTCGAAAGTGACCCGTTTTGGAACCCGTTTACCATATTGACCCATTCCTCTGGTGAAGCTCTCGGAGCTGGAACACTCCCTCCACCACTCACAATGCTACCTACATAATTTATTTATTTTTTTATTTTTGATCATCACAAAGCAATTTCGCCTAATTTTCGTTGCTCAACATATGAAAGTAAATTAGGCCTTGATCGAGTTTATCCTATTTTAATTAATCTTCAACATTTTCTTAAATAAATTAAACCCATATCCATCGGAGGAAATTGAAATTGAAATTGAAATTGAAATTAGGGCACGCATACCGATGAAGTATTTCTTCATGATATCTGGAGAAGCAACCTCACGCTCAATCTGAGTCATCTGCCCAATTTTTTCTTCGAGAGTCATTCTTTTCATCAAGTCTTTGACTCTCACTTTCAGTGGCTGTTTTGGATCTTTGTATTTCATGTAATCCCCTTCCGCCGACGCCGCCGCCGTAAACAGCCACAGCACCACCAGCGCCGCCGCCGTTTGCCTCCCCATTCCGATCATCGGTGATCCGGACCTGAAACTTAGAAAATTTCACCTATAGTTTCAAATTATTTGGTAATGGGAATTTTGGCGCTGGCATTTATAATTTATTGGCTGTGTTGTGTAATATACGATTTTTTTTAACTATTTATATAATAATTTAATTTGTCAAATTGATACAACTTGGGCCAATAAAAAATGACATTTAATCCTATCCATTTGGTAATACCCCATATTCAAGTGACTGTTGCATATCTGGTCCGGCTCGTATCCCTCTTTTTTTG